CCTTGAGTACCTTTCTCTTCTTCTAGTAGCGTGTTAGTGCCCCTTCTCTCTTATCTTATTTTAATTTAATTTCATTTTTTGGGTAGGAGAAGGCATGCTTTTAGGGAAGAGGATCTTTGGCAGAGAGTACTTGGAACTCTGCAGTGAGGTGGGAACAGAGGTTTAGTATAACTATGAGATAGCGTTGCTTTGTGGCTACCAAAAAAAGCCTGCATCAACAGACTTTAGCAGCTCGCACGTCCCTCTGGGGAGAAGGGTGAGCCACCCTCTGCCAGTAGTAGGTGTGTGCCTGCCACCTTGCTCACCCATCCCTCCACTCGATATGGAAGGTTGAGTCAGAGGGGACGTGGCCATCCAGGAATCCCAGGGGTGGGCTGTGGTCACTGATAAATATCAGGGCACTTTTGCTTTCTTTCTCACCACTATATGGCTTCCAGGAACCAGAGGCATGAAAGATGTGGGTGTGGTACAGAGGGATGGCCACAGGTTTTGGAGTCAGACGGACCCTTGTGTGACCTTAACTGAGTGACTCAACTCTGTGTTACTTCCTGTCACCCAGGCTAACTCGGAGGCTGCCGCTACCTCTGGGTTTTATGCTGTTGGCATTGTTAGTTAAGAATTCCCTATTTGAGGATTTATAGCTTTCCTGTGAGCAGCCCTATGGCTTCTTGTAGTAGAGAGTTTGCCTAGAGCCAGACCTGGATTTGAACCTTGCTTTGAGTTACTTGACCTGATTTTCTCATTTGTAAAACTGGGATTGACCTTGGTTTTCTCATTTGTAAAACTGGGATTGTAATGCCTAACTGGGCTGTTGAGGATTAATGAGATGATGTTTATAAACAAAGTGCCCACCTCACTCTAGCTTGGACAACAGAGTGAGACTCTGTCTCAAAAAAAAACAAAACAAAAAACCACCACCACCACCAACAACAACAAAGTGCCCATTGCTAAGTTTCTCTTCTGCTAAAGACATCTACATACATATTGGGCCTTCAGTCTACTGAATCTCTCTCACACCTGCCTCTTTGTCTTTTGGTTGTTTTATTTACTACGGTAATTCAGATACAATTAAGAAAGCCTGCACTCTGCAAACGTACAATCAATGCAGTTATTTTCTTTCATATACAAAGAGCTCTTTTAGATTATTAAGGAAATACGGATATCTTTCAAAAATACAGACAAAAGACACAAATGGACGATTCACAGAAAAAGGAATTCAAAAGGCCAGTCAACATTTTAAAATGCTAACTTTACTCAAATGAAATAAACCAAGTTTAAAAAATGAGATATCACTTTGACCTAGCAGGTTGGCAAAGATTAATTACTACATAACATGGGACTCCGGTGAGTGAAGCACACCTGATTGTTTGCGTGGAAACTGATGAAACGTTTAGGAAGGTAATTTGGCAATACCTTCCAGCTTGAAAACATATATCCTTGGAAACAGCAATGCAAACCCTTTTTTGGAAGATGTCCGTTACAGCCTCCCCTGTATTTATAAAGTAAACGTATATGAGGACACCCAAGAAACCTTAATAGTGATTATTTTTGGGATGTGTAGAAGAAAGGAGATGTTTGCTTTTCATTTTTTCTACCTTTGTACTGTTTGAATTTTTTTAACCAGGTGTTTGTATTTTATTATTTTTAAAAAGTTAAAATTTACGCCTGTAATCCTAACACTCTGGGAGGCTGTGGCGTTTAGCTCAGGAGTTCAAGACCAGCCTGAGTAAGAGCGAGATCCCGTCTCTACTAAAAATAGAAAGAAATTAGTGGAACAACTAAAAATATATAGAAAAAATTAGCCAGACATGGTGGCGCATGTCTGTAGTCCCAGCTACTCAGGAGGCTGAGGCAGGAGGATTGCTTGAGCCCAAGAGTTTGAGGTTGCTGTGAGCTAGGCTGATGCCACAGCACTCTAGCCTAGGCAACAGAGTGAGACTCCGTCTAAAAAAAAAAAGTTAAAATTGTTATCCAGAGAGAAAAGTGCTTAACAATAAAAGAAACCTTACCTCTCACCTGGTGGTCTCATGTATAAATCTTACAATTGGCATGCAAACATTAAGCTTAACAGATGAACCATCAGTGAACAAATGCAATATGAGATGGTTTCTTAACTTGCCTCAAATACTAACTATAATCACTCAACAGAATGTTCTCTCTGGCCCTTATGGGTCCTCTGCCATGTGGCTTTGTGCTTTCCTAAGAAACCTGCCAGAGGCATGCTCACTCCAGAGCCTTTTCCCTGCCCTGCTCAGTCTGTCGGGTGCCCGTAGATGCATGTGTCCCCCACGCCCCGTCACATACTCACGTGCACTCTGCTCTGGGCTTCTGGAGTGTCCCAAAGGTTCACAGTGGAGGTAGAGCTTGAGCCACTGGTAGTAGCGGGGAGGGCTTGGGGTGGCTGAGGAGAGGAGCTACACAGTCACACAAGGGAATGATAATAATAGTGACAATGACAGCAGCTGTTTATTGATGGCTTCCTGAGTGTGTGTATACATTCGCATGTAACATAGTCCATATTTCACATGTGCCTCACAACCTCTGAGAGAAGCACCTGAGGGTGAGGTGACATGCTTACAGAGCCTGCGAGGTGCCCATGCCCCACAGGTAGTGTGGCAGCTGAGTTGGAATTCAAAACGAGGCCTCTCACCTGTTTCTGAGGTCCAGCGCTCCCTGGGGGCCTCCCATGGAGGTGCGCGTTATGAGAGGGGGTCCATCTACTGCCCAGAGGGGTCACCTCGGGATTTCTGGAGTCACATGCTGGGCCTGCCCCAGATCCTGGACTGAGGAGTATAGCCTATGGTTTTGTGACTTGTGGTCACGTGTGCTTGTGGAGGAGGGTTTCAGAGGAGTATCTGTTCCAGACGAGCCCTATAAGCAAAGCAAGGGATGACGTTTCTTCCTGGGACGTTTACCAGCAGTACCAGAATTACCAGCAGTACTTTATTATTCGTGGTTTTTCTTCATTCCATCAGAAAACACTACAAATACCACCATTCTTGATGGAGCTTTGCCGGTCCAGGGTGTCCAGCTGGGCCGGCCTCGGGTGATGACCAACCAGGGGCAGCCTCGCCACCTCAATCCCCGGTGGCCACTGATTCAGCGGATCGTGTGTGTCCTGGACTTCAGAGCGCTGATGAGGCAGTTCATCTTGATTTCCTTTTCATCCGTCATGACAACCACCATGTAGCGTTTCCTAGAATCTGGCCGAGATCCCACTACCAGGGAAGGCTCAGAATGGAGTGTCTGGAAAAGTTGCCCCCGGCCACGAGGGGGGGCAGAATCACCCCAGACGGGGGTACATTGCTCTTGCCAGCCGGCAGCTGTAGCTAGTGGCGGGACTGCTTCCAGTCACCGGGGACGGGATGGAAAATCAGTACCCTGGGGAGGAATGCTGAAGTCGCTGGAGCTGACTGTAATGGCTTTTCTCGGACAGGTTTTCGGCCATCGTGGGCCGGGGAGACTCAAGTGTTGGTGTGGGCGGTGTTTGCTGAGAGCTCGGAGATAAAATATCTAGTGTGTCCTGAGTTCTCTGGACAGTTCTGGGTGCTGGAGGCTCATTGTCTAAATTTTCCTCTCATGGCAACCCTGTGAGATACGATAGCCCCATTTTAGAGATGAGGCAACCAGGGCTCTGAGGCTCCGAGGTTCAGGAACTCGTTTGAGCTAAAATGTGGCTTGGGTTCTGATGTAGGCCCAGAGCCCGTCTCCATCCGCCACAGCCCCCAACAGCTGGTTGTGTGGACATCTCTGCTGGATGATGTCTGCCGCAGGTTTCCCCCGGGGACCCCAGGGGCTGCGGGTGGTGGTGGTCTCAGGGAGTTGGGAAGATGTGGTGTTTTTTCAGGGTCAAAGAGCCAGATATAGGTGCTGGGGGGACCTGGGCACAGAATGAACCTTGTTGGGTCATTTAGTTGAGCACTTCCTGACCCTCCAGCCATCCCGTGTTTCTTGAGTGGCAGTCTCCCATGGGAAAGGGGCTGAGTGTTGACAAACGTGTCAATAAGTGAACCCCCCCCCCGGGGGGGGGAACTGCCTTCTAGCCTTACAGAAGGCGCGTGGCGGGATAGCGGGAGCCCAGCGGGGAGCCTGCATGGGGTGCGCCTTGCCTGCCCCGCCAGCCCCCCGCCCTGGCTGTGGGCTCTGCGCCTCTTCAGCACTTTCATTCTGTGTCACACACAATGGGGTACTTCCCTGTAGCCGGCCGTATTATTGTCCAGAATCTGGATGTTTCCTGTCCACGCTGCTATTTCCTGGAGGGAAGGAGCTGTACCTTCCTGGTGACACATGAAGATCTTGGCTCATCTGTGTCCTGTGGCTCCTTTTTGGGAGTCTCCCTCTTCCCTTCCCTGGCTCCCTCATGGCTTTGTGGCTTGTCCGAGTGGCCCAACTCCTGCCTCACACACCCGGGGTCAGCATTGTCTCGCATTCTAGTGAGCTGGAGACCCTTTCGGAAGGCACTTGCTTGTCTTATTTGCTAGGCCTCTTAATTTATAGCCAGCTAGACCCCATTCCACTCATCACAGGACCCTCTAATCTTGCTGTGGGACGTTGCCATCATAACACACACACATTATAAAGTAAGTTTTGTACTGCAATTGTAATTTGGCAGAAGGCCCAGGGCCCTCAGGCTTGTAGCAGCTTGGTGCTCAGGGGGTAGGAGGAACAAAACTGAGGCACGGACCCCTGGTGCAGGGCTTGGTGGGCCCCAGGAGCTTGCTAAAAAGCACTTAGGAGATAATTGGCTCTTGTGGGGTATGAGTGCCCCAAAGTTGGAAGCAAAACTGTCTCATTGTTGATGTAAACTAGAAAAGTAACATAAATGCTTGTTACAAAGAAAATCAGACAATACCTAAATGTGTGTAGAGACAGGTAAACCCCATGGGCCACGGATGACCAGCATCTGGAGGGACCAGGGTTTTAAGTCTTGGTTGGCCTCTCAAGCAATTTGACCTTCTTGTTTTCCCAGAAACTAATAGAGGCCCTTCCTTTCTCTGCAGAACATGGAGAGTTTCTGGCTCTGGACCTTGGAGGGACCAACTTCCGTGTGCTTTGGGTGAAAGTGACAGACAATGGGCTCCAGAAGGTGGAGATAGAGAGCCAGATCTACGCCATTCCTGAGGACGTCATGCGGGGCAGCGGCACCCAGGTACGGCCCTTTTCTGCCACTCAAACACAGCCATAGTGATCCCTCTCAGCTGGAGCTCAGGCTACTCCTGCCCTATTTCATACCCAGTAGCATGTGATCAGGAACAAAAGGAGTGAATGTGGAGGGACAACAGTAAGATGCTAGAATAGAATCCGGGTAAGATGCAATTCTCATGTTGTCACATCTTGGGCCCTGGGGCTTGCAAGAGGTGGAGCCCTGTCACTCCTACTCTGCTGTTCTTTCCACCATGCCAGGCCACCTCCTGGGACAGGAATTTCTGACCATGAGTAGAACACGTGAGGGAGATATTTTTAGACTCTTTATTTGTCTTTGGAGGGGTGGCCCTGAGGTAAATCTGCATTCCTTGTTTTAATGCGGGGTTGGCAAAGGGAGGCTGGGTCCCTGGGACTGTGGGCATTCTAGCTCTCCTGAAGCTGTGACATGGCTCCCGTGCAGTGTCAGGCAGGAGACAGCGGGCAGAGGCTCTTCCACTGACCCCCGCCATGGCTGTCCCGTGCTGCAGTATTGAAGAAGTTGGACCTTGCGTTCGGGCAGTCTGGCTGTGTGATTCCGGGCAAGTGATAGCACCTGACGGACTCTCAGTTTGTTCATCTGTGGAAAGGGATGACAGTACCTAGATTGTTGTGCAGATTAGAGGAGGCCTGTTCTGTACTCAGTACAATGCCCGGTGCGTAAACTAGTACCCTTGCTGCTTTCCACAGGGAAATCTGTTTACCTAATTGCATCTTCTTACTCTGCTTTTGGTTTCTGTGGCCAGCACTTGCGTCGGTAATTGCCCATCACAGAGGATGTGGTCACCTTTTCTTCTATCCCCTGTCACTGGCTGTATCCCCCAGATTACTAATATTTGAGAACCAAGTAAATAAGACAAAACCAAAAAAAAAAAAACCCAAAAAAGCACCTAAAGTTTGGCTATGATTGTGAAAAAGACTTGTTGCAATGTGATGATGATGTCTTAGGTGGATTTTTAAGTTTCTTATGAGAACAAGACCCTGCATGCATTTTTATCTCATCTGTGTAGCCTGTTGCTCGTACCTCAGCACTGTGAAGGGCCCAGGGACCTTGCAGTCCTTGCAGTGTCCTCCCCAGAGCCTGGCGAGGGCTCGGGTTCCTGCAGACAATCAAGTGTGTCTCTGCCAGTCGAGAAAGAGAATCCATTTCAAACATTCAAGATGTGAGTAAAGTTTTACTTGAAAAACTTACCTTAAAATCTCTCAAACCACCTAGTTAGAGGGTATAAAGAAAATTACTTCTATTCTCCATATAGTATATAAACAAAATGTTCTAGTGCAGATTAAAAAAAAAAAAAGACCAACTATGAGACCCACTTGGAAGGAACAATAAAACTATTGGGATATTAGAAAAATGTTGAATAAATGGAAAAAATGCTATATGAAAATGAAACAGAAAGAAAACTAGAAGAAAATATAGGTGTTTCTAAGGAAAGAAAAGAATGCAATATGCCTAAAAAGCAACAGAAAACACAAGAGAGGCTAGAAGTTCATAGTAGCTATTTTAGTGGTGGAATAATGGTGCCGTTTTGCCTATGTTTTCCATTTTATTGGTATTAGGTATCAATATTTTAATTAAAGAAAAACAAATGGGTTTTAAAATACAATTTAGTTAAAATCAAGACCGAAGCCAGGCATAGTGGCATGCGCTTGCAGTTTCAGCTGCTCAGGAGGCTGAGGTGTGAGGATTGTTGAGGCTGGGAGTTCTAGTCTGTAGGGTGCTATGTTTGTGTGCTTGTGAATAGCCACTGCACTTCAGCTTGGGCAGCATGGTGAGACCTTGTCTCTAAGAAAAAACAAAACAAAACGCAACAAAACACCAAGATCAAATCACCAACCCCCAACCTGCAAAGGTCTCTGAAGAACTGTGAACCTGGGCAGTGGGTCGCTGGGGGAAAGCTGTCTTCTGGCACATTAACTTCCACTGAAGAGAAGTGTGTTGCAAACCTGACTAACAGCCACTTAAGATTTTTAAAGTGTATTTTGTGGGAAGGGAAGACTCTCAGAGCAGATTCTCAGACCAGTATGGAAAAGGCACCATGCTAACTCCATAAAATGATGCCCTTTGAGCCTTTTTATGACAGGAAGGTGTTAGCTCTTTCTCTCAGCATCCTATTCTTGGGTCCTTAGCAAACAGAAAAGGAGATAGTCTTCCAACCCAAGGAAGCAGATGGTCTCCTCTTGTCACTTTCAATAAGGGGCAGGTTGAACCCAGCACTGGCCAGTGGAACTTTTTGCAGTGGTGGAACTATTATTCTTTATCTGCCCTGTGCAATACGGTAGCCCCCGGCCACCTGTGGTACTGAGCACTTGACATGTGGCTGGTGTGACTGAGGAACTGAATTTTTAATTTTTAAAAATTGTAATTGTGGCTACTGAATTGGGCAGGGCAATATTTAATGCCTCTTCTCTGCCTGCCCCATTGGGAGTGTAACTGGGAAGGGGGCAGTGCTCACGGCTGAGTGAGGGGAAGCCATTTTGCTTTGCAGCTTCTAAAGGCCCTTCCCCCGTCTTTGATAACTCACCTGATCTCTTTGCACAGCTTCTACAACTTCCTTTTTTTGGATAAATACCATCTGTACTAAAGATCCTTTTGACTAGCATACCAGGAAGAAGGTGCTGGGAATTTGTTTAATAAACATATCATATAATTTTGTCTCCTATCAGCTTACTGACAGAACAGAACTTGCTCAATATCTTCCTATTTACATAATAAAATAATTGACTTCTGCCCAAGGGAGTTGGCTCATCTGCCTTAGTGATCCCCAAGGTGGTAGAGCCTTGTCCTTCCCAGCCCTTATGTTTTGGTTTAGAGGTCAAAGTTGCAGCATCAGCAGTTGGTGGCTTTGCATGGGATCAGACAGTGGACAGAATGGATGCAGGAAGTGGAGCCAGCCACCATCCAGACCTTGGAGTGGCCTTGTCCCTCCTGCTGACCATATCCCAGGGCATCAGGGGAACCAATAAGCCTGTCATCCTCCTTCCCCCAACCTCTCAGTTCCTTTGTAAATGCAAATACTTTTTTGTGGTTTAGTGCTGTGGTTTTCAAACCAAACCAATGTCTGGAGTCTGGATCACCTGGAGGGCTTGCTATTCCTTCCCCTCCTCTGCACCCCCCTCCCCCTAGTTTCTGCTGCAGTAGGTCTAGGATGAGGCCCTGGGATGTGCACTTCTAACATGTTCCCAGGGACGGTGGGGATGCTGCTGCTCTAGGACCACACAGTGGGAACCTGTGGTTTAGTGGAATCTTCCTTCTTCCTTGGAAAGGAAAAAGAGAGTTGTCTTCTCACACCCCCCCTTGGCTTTTAGATTTTGCCACTTGGTCAAACCTGGCCCTTGGAATCTGCCCAGCCTATTTGACCTCTGCTTACTTTTTGCACCAGAGTGCCCATGGCCTCAGCCCCTAAGCATCTGGAGGGTCACTACCTTCTCTTTGAGGGTACTGAGTGGGCAAGAGGGAAGCCAGGAGGTCATGGGCGTTCGGGCTGGTGGGAAGCCTGGCTCGTCATGAATACAGTCTTTCTAAGGCTCGGGAGCTGCTCATGACCTGCTCAGCGTGGTCGCGGTTGGGAGGCTGCCCACCCACAAAACTCTATTTATTCTTCAGCGCTCCTCGTTGACTCACTGAGTGTTCTGTTTTGAATTCAGAAAACAAAGATAACCTCTTTGAATTGCCCACAGGAGATTAGCTTTCTAGAATGGAGAAAAAAATATAAAAGTTACTTATTTTTGTTAAGTTGGTTCATAGAATGCCAACAGAGAATGTCCTCTCTCTCCTCCAAACACAAGAGACACGGATGCTAAAATACTTCTTGGCAGTGAAATGGGCTATCCTTTCTGGTAAGATAATCAGCCGGGCATCCTTGTCAGCAGGGTTCTGACGGGGCCACCAAAGGATGTTCTGTTCCCAGGGCATGCGATGACTTTCTGATGAACGTTGGCCACGATTTCCCCTTCCTTGCAAGGTTATTTTGACAGGGTTTCGGGTAAATGGTCTAAGTGGAAAACCACATTTGATGAGTACTAATTAGTATTAAGCGCTTATATGTATCGACTCTTTTACTCCTTTTGGTAACTCCATGAGGAGGGCAGGTCCAGTTATCATTACCATTTTGTAGATTAGCCAATGGAGATTGCAGAGGAGAGATGGATTTCGAGTACACTGAACTGGTTACTTTCAGAGTCGGAAGTCCATGCTCTAATCCCCTCTCTGCTCCTCTTCCTGTGTCGTGTGCCTTAGCTGTTTGACCACATTGCCGAATGCCTGGCTAACTTCATGGAGAAGCTGCAGATCAAAGAGAAGAAGCTCCCGTTGGGTTTCACCTTCTCATTCCCCTGCCACCAGACTAAACTAGACGAGGTAAGATGGGTTCTTCTTTTCTTTCTTCTTTCTCTCTTTTTCAGACACTTGTCTTGCTTAGCTCTTGGGGCCACAGACACTGGGGAGGACTCTGAGCCACCTGCTATGGGGTCGGTGGTGCCTCTGAGTGGTTGTGCTGATGAGGTTCTGTTCTTGTGCATGACTGTGGTTGTGGGGGTGTGTGCGTGTGGGAGACAGTGAAGTGTCAGAGGAGGGTGGGGTGCTCTTCCCTACCCTCCCTTCCACACATGTTGCACAGTGTCCTTATCCTATCTAGAGAAACAGGAATGAAAAATCAGAAACCCTCCTGATCTAAGGTGTTACAATAAAGACCCTTGGAAGAAATATGCTTGGGGAATTTAATGATGTGAGGATATAAGTGTAGTCATGCGTTGCTTAACAATAGGGATATGTTCTGAGACGTGGGTGATTGGACCACTTCGTCATCGTGTAAACATCAGAGTGTGCTTACACAAAGCTAGATGGCACAGCCCACTACACACCTAGGCTGTCCCATTCTGCAAATCTGAACTGAGCACTGTGGGTAACTGTGATGCAATGGTAAATTATTTGTGTATCTGAACATAGAAAAGGTAATGCACTGCGCCAGTGTTACACTGGCTGTGACATCACTGGGCAATAGGAATTTTTCAGCTCCATCATGATCTTCTGGGACCACTGTCATATAGTCTGTTGTAGACCGAGCGTCGTTATGCTGCGCATGACTGCGTCGTATTTTGGCAGTTTTATAGTCTTCTCATTCCACTTATTGGCAGCAGTACATCATAAAGGAATCATTCACTTAATCTCCTTTCTTGGTCTTTGATGGGCCTGAGTTCTTCTTCCTGGACTAGTCAGAAAGCAATGCCCAAATTCAGTCAGGACTTCAGGTTGGCCCAGCAGCAGAGATCTCTGCTAATGTTGGCTGTTTGAGGAGTGTGGTCTAAGTTTTAATTGTGGGAAATCAATATTTGTTCCTTGGTCCTTTTCTAGAGTTTCCTGGTTTCCTGGACGAAGGGGTTCAAGTCCAGTGGAGTGGAAGGCAGAGACATCGTGGCGCTGATCCGCAAGGCCATTCAGCGGAGAGGGGTAGGTGGGGTGGCAGGAGCCTGCGGTCTGAAGTCTTTCCCTGTCTGTCCTTAACTCAGCAGAAGAAGCTTTTGTGGAGCTTAAGAGGTTTTCTTTCACTTTCCCTGCCATGCTCACATGAACAGATGCCTTTGGGGTTTTTAGATTATCTCGATGGATAAATAATCTGAGACTTGGTGCAAAAAATAACTCTTTAGTCCTTAACTTGAAGAAGACTTGAATATCATGTTCAAGTAAGAAAGTTGGAATGATGTTTACATGAGGGTGGAGAGGGGCAGAAAGAGGACAAGACAAAGATCTTATCTCGGGAGGAGTTATGGGATGGGAGGGGGAGGGCGGAGGGAGGCGGAGGTGAAGGAAGATGAGCAGCCGTGCACAGCCAGTGTTAGTTAGGAGGAAGGTTGCTGCTGTTTGTTTAGTTCTAGACCCGGATTCCTAGTTCTAAACTTTTGGGGCTCCGAGTTGGGTAGTAAAGGGGCAGCCCTGTCGCACTCGAGCTGTGTGTCTTGCTGCCCTTTCTCCATCTTCACATCTGTTGCCCTTCTGTGACGATGAAGGTCAGAACCCTCCCTGTCATCCCCACAGGACTTCGATATTGACGTTGTGGCCGTGGTGAACGACACTGTTGGGACCATGATGACCTGTGGTTATGACGACCACAACTGTGAAATCGGTCTCATTGTGGGTGAGTGAACGTCGGCACGAGGGCCAGTACTGGCCAGCGCGTGGGCACGTGGGCTGGGAAACGAAGACCGTGGTGGGGTGTTCCTTTGCCCTTCATATGCGAGCATAATGGTGCGGTCCCTTTGGAGGGCTGAGCCAGGCCCCATGGAGCTGGGGGTGGTAGAGGATTGGCCCACGCGTCGGGATGTGCTGGGAGTTTGCAGTGAGGAATAGCAGCCGCCCTGGGCAGTCCCAGGGCAGTGGTGTCTGGGGAGACGGCAGTGCTGAACAACACTCCCTTGCCTCGGCCAGGCACGGGCACCAACGCCTGCTACATGGAGGAGATGCGCCACATCGACATGGTGGAGGGCGACGAGGGGCGCATGTGCGTCAACATGGAGTGGGGGGCCTTCGGGGACGATGGCGAGCTTAATGACATCCGCACCGAGTTTGACCAGGAGATCGACATGGGCTCGCTGAACCCAGGGAAGCAGCTGTGAGTGGCCCCTTGCTATGCGGGCGGGCTCTGGGGCGGGCTCGGGAGCTGAGGTTGGGGCCGGCCAGGGCCAGGGGTGGTTTCTTTACGGTCTTACACACCCCCAAAGGGTTGCCAAGGTGCCTGCCGGTTGGTTATGGGAATATCTGTGACTGTGTGAGTTGCTGAGAGGGCTCTAAAACAGAGCTGGTGCACACACCAGACGATAGCTAATAATTTGGCTATGTCCTTCAAAGCAGTTATTTTGGAATTTCCTATTCTGAGTCTAAGTCCTTGCTCTTTCTTGCCACCTTCTATTTGCAAATTGCCCATAGAAACTGTGAGCCACGTAAGAAAAGCTGTGTTGAGATGGCCAAGATTAGGGTCTCTGAAAGCTCCCTTTGTAGCTCCCACTCCATTGCTGCCCAGAGCACAGGCCATGACAGTCACTGCTCATTACTGGCCCACAGGGCCCTAGGCCCTTCTGCCCCAGTGCAGGCAGACCCACTGCCCATGGAAAAGCTGGCTAAGGAGCTTCCTTGGCCTCCTTCCTGGACCTGTGGCCTAGCACGGCCTTGGGTAGATAAGAGGAGGGCCTTCGGTTGTTTGGGCTCTCAATGCTATATGCGCCAGCACGGCTAGACTTAGCTTTTAGTTACTTTGCCTCTTACAAAACATGATTTCACCCTTACAAACATTTATCAAATGCCCGTTAAAGATCTTGAAACAGAGATTGCTGCAAGCTCTGACAGCAGTTGCAAAATATTTTGAGCAATGCAGTATTTCTCTGGTCTTGTTGCTATGGCTGTTTTAGGACAGCTTTTAGTGCAGATCTCTCCTTGGAGAGGAAACTCTAACCCTATAAACCAGGTCAGTGGTGAGTAGCCCTTTTTTTTATGGGCGAGTCCTTGCTTCCTCAAAGCATGGTTTATTTATGTAAGTCACAAGCTCCCTCACGTGAAACGTGCGTCCTTTACTTGAACTTTCTTAGGAACATACTGGTTGTATCTGCCATGGTTGCTGAGAGGTTTATGAACTGAAAAATTCAGTTCATAAACCATAAATTCACTCAATGTCCACTTCTATTAACGAGGCACGCCCACGTCATTCCGAGGAACCATATGTCCTTTGAAGTGTCAAAAGACAAATTTATTACCAGCCAGGCCGTGACAACACGCCCCTGGCTTAGCTTAGCCTTAGACAAGGTAAAAGTTGGGAGGATATACACCAAATTGTTGGCCATGGTAGCCCTGAAGTCATTATAGACAACCTTTTCCCTCTCTAATATGTTTCTAAGTAAATATCTTCTAAATTTGACTGGAACAAAGTAATTTTAAAACTGGAATAAAAACTTATTAAAAAAGAAACCCACCCACACTGTGGCGCCCCACAGCCCCGGGCCACCCCCCCACCTGCCATGGAACCAGCTGTGCGGGAGAAGATGTCACAGAGAGCGGGAGTTCCTCACCCTGGAAGCCAGGACGCCAGCCAGGCCTCGTGCCTGTGTTGGTGCGCTGTCCCTGTGCTCCTAGCAGTTTTGCCAGCTCTCACTTAGCCCTGATTCTGTCCTACCTGGCCTTGGGGCTTGGGCAAGCCACTTCCTGAGGGCCTGGGTTTCCTGTCTGGTAGGGGACGGCGGAATCCCTTGCACACCTCTGTTCGGGGCCTCCTCCTGGGTGTAGCCCATCCTACTTAGTACTGGCACACCCAGGTGCCCTTCTCTCTTTAAGACCTAGATCCTTTCCGAGATACCCAGAAATGGGCCTTTTTTTGCCAAAAAGAATTGCCAAGCTTGGTTTCCTCTGCCACATTGTCCTAGCCAGAAAGACCAATTTCTAAAGAAAACAGTACCACCTAGTGTTGAAAAGTTAAATTACCTGACTGCTCTTGGCTTGGGGGCCGGTCTCTGCCTTTCTAAGACATGTTTTTTTTTGGAGACAAGAGTCTCGCTTTGTTGCCCAGGCTAGAGTGAGTGCCATGGTGTCAGCCTAGCTCACAGCAACCTCAATCTCCTGGGCTCAAGCAATCCTGCTGCCTCAGCCTCCTGAGTAGCTGAGACCACAGGCATGCGCCACCATGCCTGGCTAATTTTTTCTATATATATTAGTTGGCCAATTAATTTCTTTGTATTTATAGTAGAAATGGGCTCTTGCTCTTGCTCAGGCTGGTTTCGAACTCCTGACCTCTAGCAATCCGCCTGCCTCGGCCTCCCAAAGTACTAGGATTACAGGCCTGAGCCACTGCGCCCGGCCCAAGACATGCCTTTATCTTGTCGCCTGCCTGCTCCGAAGTGTGCTTCACTCCCAGATTCCCAAGACCGGACATTTAGAGTTCAGAGCTGAGTCCCAACTCACCTGTCCCCACCTGCCCTTCTAATCTTGTCCCTGCAACTCCTTGCCCCAGGTTGTCTTCACACCATTTTCTCTGGAATCGACAGGTGGCCTGCAGGGGCCGGCAGTGTCAGATGAAGAATTGCTGGGCCTGTTCATGAGAGTGACTTTTTCTCTTGTAAATAAATATTGGTGCTCTATGTAAGATTTTATTTTTAAAAAGCATTTCCTGGCTAGAGAAGAATTTAAAAAATCACTACCCTATATATGCATAACTTAGTAAAACTCAGCCTGTTTCAGAATGTTCTATACTCTCCCTGAATGTTTCATTGGGCTGCTTAAAACCCATTCTTCTCCATGGTTCAGGGCTTACCAGCCTGTGGGGACAACCCAAGCACTCCAGCTCCTCCAGCCCCTTTGAGCTGTCACTTCTCCCCACATCTCATTCCTGGTGGTGAAAAAGTTAACCCTTCTTTATACACCAACTGCTATAGTATGTTGAAGTTTCACGTGTGCATATCTTTCTTCCACAGGAGAGCGGTGAGTTCAGGGACAGTGGGGGCTTTATATCCCTGGTCTGTGTCTCCCTGCAGGTTTGAGAAGATGATCAGTGGGATGTACATGGGGGAGCTGGTGCGGCTCATCCTGGTGAAAATGGCCAGGGAGGAGATGCTCTTCGGTGGGAAGCTCAGCCCGGAACTGCTCACCACCGGCCGCTTTGAGACCAAGGACATTTCAGATATTGAAGGGTGAGTTTCCAGCCCTGCCACCTCTCTAGTCGCTGGATCTCCACAGGATAGACAGGTAGTTGGGGAATGAGGAAGCGGCACTGGTGTTCGACCCTTCAAGCGTAGACTGCGAGAGAGTTTCGCACAACGTGGACCGTGGGGGGCTTGTGGCTTCATGTCACTTACCAGTCTCCACTCCCGCTGACTTTGGGCCTGATTACTACCACCATGCCCCCACCCCCACCCCAATGCTGAGAACAGTTGGCCTCCACATGCAGGGACTTGAACCATGACACTGGACCATGACACTGGGTTCAGGGCTGGAGGCTCTCAGAGGGCCCTGGAATGACTCATGTGTGTCTGCCTCCTTTCCTTTCTCCTGAATCTCTGACATCTCATCCCCTGTTGCCAATTCTCAAAAAGATCTCTGTCCTGGCCCCTGCTTCATAGCATAAAGATAGGTCCTTGGATTGGATACCTACTTAGCTCTAGCATGCAGAGCCATGGCCTGCATTTTCCCAGCCTGGCAGGGGTAGGAGTGATGAGGGCCTGACTTTGTTTTTCAATTAACAGTATCCCAAGAGTCGGGTCTCGATTGCTGTTCTTGAGGTGTCAGCTTGTAGGTTGAGGAGTTCCTCCTATTGTTTTGGAGACCCAATGGTGGAGAGGAGGTGATTTTGGTGCCAAAAGGAACAGTGAAACAGTTTATATGACTTTGTTTTAAGTGGAAACTCTTGAAGGAGCTGTGCCTACTTGTTGAACCCTGAGGTGATGCAAGTGCTCCTATTTGTGACGCATTTAGTTCCCCTGAGAAGGGTGGGGGCGTCACAGCACCAGCCCTTTACCGCCTCCTTTAAGACACAAGCTAAAGCAGCCCAACTCCATGGTGAAATGCAACGGCCTGTGCTTTAGGGAGAGGAAACCGGTGGGGCCACAGCTGGTGCACATGTTGAGACGTCGCCAAGGGCCGAGACACTGTCTACCCTAAGACAAGCCAATGTAGCACCAACACACACACGCACACACACACACACACACACACACACACACACACACACACACACACACACACCCCTCACCGTGTAAAGCACCAAGAATAGAGTCTTATTGTTACAAAGCACATGCACATGAAATGCTAGTTTTTCTCATCAGGAAAAAGGGGCACCTGGGAGGGTTAGGCCATTCTGTGTGGGGGTGTCTGGGAAAGGAGCCTGTGTTATGTTTTGCCCCCACAACTACTTGCTCTGCCTCCACGGGCAGGTGAGCAGTGGAGAGGGATTCTGCTCTGGCGGGGGGTGGAGTTGGCTGGAGCTGAGGGGTTTCCTTGCTGCCTCCACTGCTGCCACAGCGGGTTAGGCACATGCCCACGTGCTGTCTTTCTGCTTCCCAGGGAGAAAGACGGCATCCGGAAGGCCCGCGAGGTCCTGGTGCGGCTGGGGCTGGACCCGACGCAGGAGGACTGCGTGGCCACTCACCGCATCTGCCAGGTCGTGTCTACGCGCTCAGCCAGCCTGTGCGCGGCCACCCTGGCCGCCGTGCTGCGGCGCATCAAGGAGAACAAGGGCGACGATCGGCTGCGCTCCACCATCGGGGTCGACGGCTCCGTCTACAAGAAACACCCCCAGTGAGTCGGCGTCCAGGCCTGGGGTGATGGGGCTCCCAGAGCACCTGGGGACCTGGCTCCGTGGGCCAGCTCCGTTTTGCATTTCTGGGGTGATGTGGATAGACCTTGGAGTTGAGGATCCTGGTAGAGTAAAAGTTCCTCCCTGGGCAAAGTGCCAAGTGGGAGGGTGTCACTCCTGCTGCCGCTGGTGGAGGTGACTTCTGCCTGGCGGCTGGGCGCTCTTTTCCACCACCCTCCCTTATATGAGCTAGTGTTGTTTCTCTCTTCACTCTCATGATTCTTTTTTTTTTTTTTTTTTTTTTTTTGAGACAGAGTCTCGCTTTGTTGCCTAGGCTAGAGTGAGTGCCATGGCGTCAGCCTAGCTCACAGCAACCTCAATCTCCTGGCTCAAGCAATCCTTCTGCTTCAGCCTCCCAAGTAGCTGGGACTACAGGCATGTGCCACCATGCCCAGCTAATTTTATATATATATATATATATATATATATATATATATATATATATATATATATTAGTTGGCCAATTAATTTCTTTCTATTTATAGTAGAGACGGGGTCTCGCTCTTGCTCAGGCTGGTTTCGAACTCCTGACCTCGAGCAATCCGCCCGCCTCGGCCTCCCAGAGTGCTAGGATTATAGGCGTGAGCCACCACGCCTGGCCTCACTCTCATGATTCTTGGTGGTTCCTGCAGGTGCTATGTCCTCTGCCAGGGGCCACCCCAGCCCAGTGGGTGACCGGCGTCTCTGGCTGACTTTACTACTAAATTGATCCTGCCCTGTCCACATTTTGATCCCTCGGGTCATAGTGCTCAAATGTTCAAATTGGGACCTGGGAGACATCTCTCTATTGTGTCCACATATTTCCCCTTGTGAATGCCAGGTCATTGTGCCTTCATTAATTTAATTGCTTGGTGCAGAGGGCCTCAGCCCTGAGACTTCCTAAGCCTGGCCCAGTGCCTCAAACACTTTTTTTTTTTTTTTTTTTTGAGACAGAGACTTGCTCTGTTGTCCTGGGTAGAGTGTAGTGGCATCATCATAGCTCACTGCAACCTCAAACTGCTGAGCTCGAGCTATCTTCCTGCTTTAACTTCCTGAGTAGCTGGGACTACAGGCTTGCACCATGATGCCCAGATAATTTTTCTATTTTTAGTAGAGACAGGGTCTTGTTCTTGCTCCAGCTGGTCTCAAACTCCTGAGCTCAAGCAATCCTCCTGCTTTGGCCTCCCAGAGTTCTAGCAGTACAGGGATGAGCCACCCCGCTGGCCTCAAAAACTCCAGTGTGCACACCAATACCTGGGGATCTTGCTAAGAGGAAGATGCTGATTCAGAAGGTCTGGGGTGAGCCTGAGTCGTTGCATCTCTGACAGTCCCCAGGGAGGCTTTTGGCTCACAGACTGCACATGGAGCAGTGGGGCCCCGGAGACCACGCCTAAAAGCGGCCACCATCTGGAGAGTTTCTTGCTGAACATAACCATTGTCTTTAGCTGTTCAGATACCTTTGGGATCATTGGCAGAAACTAGTGACAGAGAGGCCAAAGTCCAAGAGAAGAGCATTTCTGCTTTTTTCTATTTGGGGTCTTTCCCAGGACAGTATCTAGTGAAGTGATTGAACAAGAAAAGTAGAGGTGGTATTGGAATCACCGGATTCCACCGGGCTGTTCCCAAGAGGCTGATGGTGCCACATAGAGCAGAGGAGTTGGGGGCTGTGAGCCAGCTTGATGAGGAAGGAGGGCGTGTGACTGCATGCAGAGGACAGTGGCTTGTTAGAAGGGGTCCTTTTCGGCCAGTAGAGGGTGGCCTCAGCTGGGGAGGGTCACCAAGGCCCCAAGGCCCCAGCCTGGTCTTTATGCAGGCTTGTTCCTGAGTTTGCATTTCTTCTGGGTTGAAGCTTGAGCTCTTTCAAGCCCTACTGGAGGCAGCCTGCCCTGGCCAGGCCCCCCCTTCAGTGCCCGACTTCTCCCTGCAGCTGTTTGGTCACAGTTGAACATCTGAGTTTTCACAGTGACTCCTAACTTGGGGAAGAGAGAGGTGAGGCTATTCAGGGCGGCATCTACTCCTGTAGGTGCTTCCTGGCACCTGGGCTGAGGTGGTGAGCTGCTGTCCCACCCTTCGCACCACTGACCCTAACCGTGGACACCTGTCTCTTACCCCATCTGGGCGACTGCAGTTTTGCCAAGTGTCTTCACAAGACTGTGCGGCGGCTGGTGCCTGACTGCGACGTCCGCTTCCTCCGCTCCGAGGACGGCAGCGGCAAGGGCGCAGCCATGGTGACGGCAGTGGCTTACCGGTTAGCCGACCAGCACCGAGCCCGCCAAAAGACCCTGGAGTCTCTGAAGCTGAGCCGTGAGCAGCTCCTGGAGGTCAAGAAGAGGATGAAGCTAGAAATGGAGCGAGGTCTGAGCAAGGAGACGCACGCCATCGCTCCCGTCAAGATGCTGCCCACCTATGTGTGTGCCACCCCTGATGGCACAGGTACGTGCAGGGTTGTCCCCCCCGGCTCACACAGTGGGCCTCTATCCTGGTGTTGGTGCCCTGGGGAGTCTCCCTTAGCGTGGGCATTTGAACCACAACATGTTTCTTCTGCTGTATTGCTAGGCAATTCTAGAGTTCGAGAAGCTCAACCAAGGCATTCCTCTGCTAGAATTGAACAATAACAATAGTCCGTATTCATTTATTTATTTATTTTTTATGAGTTGGCTACACTGTAATAGTTTGTATTATTGATTGCTTACTATGTGTCAAAGCACTTTATGTGTATTAATTCATTCAATCATTATTTAAAAAGATTAGTAGTTAACTTTGTTTATTAACAAACTGCTATGTTTGGCAGAAAACTGAGGCACAAAGATGTTAAGAAACCTCCCCAAGTTCACACAAATAGAGAATGTCGGAGCTGGAGTTCAAACCCAGAAATTCAAGTTCTAGAACCTTTTCTCGCAACCATCACTTTGGTCTGGGTGGAGGTCGGCAAACTCTAGCCCACGGGCCAACTCTGGCCCACCGGCGTTTTTTGTAAATAAAGCTTTATTGTTACACAGTCCTGCCCATCGTCTGCACATTGTTTACGGCTGCTTTGCACAACTGTTGCGAAGTTGAGCGAGTGTAGCAGAGACTGTATGCTTACTGTCTGAGCCTTACAGAAAAAGGTTTCTGACCCCTTGTGTAAGTCTTGCAACCTAAGAAATCGTGTCTTTTCCCCATCAGAGAAGACAGTTGATGAGCAGGCCAGTGCAGCACAGTGGACACAGGTTTTAGAGATGGAGACTGGGATTTGGTGCCTGCTATGCCCTGTTCTGTTTGTATGGCTTGGGCCAGCGACTTAACCTTGCTCAGCCAGGCCTTCATCATCCATAAGAGGGCAATGAAATGCCTCCCTCACGTAGCAGTCTAAGGGTTGGATGAGGTGGTTCTTATTTTAAAAGATATTTCTTCAGTGTCCTTCAGAAAGCTGGACTCTACTGTTCCTTCTCTATTCTAGAATCTAATATAAGGTGGCTTTTGACTTTCGGATGAGTGGTGTGTGTTTGGATGGTTTTTTATGTGTACTGTGCCAGCATTCCCCATGCAGAGAGCTCTTTGTGACTTCTGAGACCCCCCACTTGAGAACCACAAAGGAGCCAGCCTGTCAGGGGCTCCAGGGAGAGCCCCTTGTAGGGGAAGGTGCTTATACTCTGTCCCTCTTTGCTGTGGTAAGGTGGCGGTGCCTCAGCTTATCATCTTCCGGGTTTATTTTCCAGAGAAAGGGGACTTCCTGGCCTTGGACCTTGGAGGAACCAATTTCCGGGTCCTGCTGGTGCGCGTGCGGAACGGGAAGTGGGGCGGAGTGGAGATGCACAACAAGATCTACTCCATCCCGCAGGAGGTCATGCATGGCACTGGGGACGAGGTGAGGCAGGTGGCACCTCCGGGCGGGCTCCCTGTCTCTTGCCTTAGGGAACAGTGCTTTCTCTGCTCACCTGAGACTCCGGGGAGGGCTAGGTGGGCCCAAGGCCCCAGCCTAGTCTTTATGCAGGCTTGTTCCTGAGTTTGCATTTCTTCTGGGTGGAAGCTTGAGCTCTTTCAAGCCCTACTGGAGGCAGCCTGCCCCGGCCAGGCCCCTCCTTCAGTGCCCGACTTCTCCCTGCAGCTGTTCGACCACATCGTCCAGTGCATCGCAGACTTCCTGGAGTACATGGGCATGAAGGGTGTGTCCCTGCCGCTGGGTTTCACCTTCTCCTTTCCCTGCCAGCAGAACAGCCTGGACGAGGTAACAGCGCTTTCCTGCTGGGCTCTGCTGCGGGCTATTGACTGAAAACCAGCCAAGTGTGGAGGAGGCAAGAGAGCTGAGCTGAGACTAGGGAAAGAAGGGCATGAGTGACCAGTGGCAGGGAGGGGACCCTTGATGGGAATGACTGAGTCAGGGCTAGTGGTGGTTAAGGAGGTTAGCTTAGCTGTAACAGTCTTTGGGATGGTGATGATGATGCTACTGAAAATATTGACAACTAACAGTTTTTTGAAGCACCTATTTTATGCCGGTTACTACATTGGGCTTCCTATGTGCGTTATCAAATTTAACCCTCACAGCAACCATATAAGATAGCTGTTTGTACACCCATTTTGCATAAAAGAAAGTGAGGTCTACAGAGGTGCTGGGTATCTTGCTCCAGGTCATTCAGTTTGGAAGTGGCCAGGCCACGATTTGAATTTGGTTTCAATGCTTGAGCTTGAGCCTGTGCTCTCAGTTGTGCTGTGCCTCGTTATGGGCTTGGGGCATTTCTACTTCATCTCCTGTTTGGATGCCTTGGCTCTTCTCTGCTCTCACCCCCTGCTCCTTGCCTTGGATGAATGAAGCAGGGAGTGGAGATCTGGCGCTCCTGGGTGTTCCGGACTGAGTCCCCTGAGAGGTTGAGGAGAACTGAGCAGGCCCGTGCTCGGATCTGTGTCCTCTGTATTAGATATCAGAATATTGTTATTTAAGCAGTTGTGTCTCCATGTCTGTCATGTAGAAGCACACATACACGCTACAGGCATGTAGTATGTTGTGGATGCAGTGGCGGGGCACAAAAGGCATGGTTCCTGCCTTAGATGCTTACAAACATCTAAGCTGCTGAAGTAAGCTCAGAAAAGTAAGAGCCGGCTGGGCTGCTGTTTATGAGATGGCACCAGTGGGGTACTGAAGCCCCCAGGACATGCAGTGAGATATTAGTCTGAGCTCATACCTGGAGGACATGAGCAATACTTGGAACAAGTTAGAGGAAGGAGTTGTTGGGGAAGAAAGGCAGGCAAGCCTGGCCAGTGTGGAGAAGGGTGTGTAGGTGGGAACAAGTCACAGGAAGGGCTGGGACAGAACAGAGGAGCCCACCCCAGTGGTGGGGAAAAGCCAGCATTTCCTATGGGGTCCCTGGAATACCACCCCTCCAGTTGTCCCACTGAGCTGTGTAAATGCCTCCTGCTCCTCCTCCTCTGAGAGTTCAGTTCCCCACCATTATAATTAAGCTTTTAAGAAGTCCTGCAATAACAACCCTGCTTAGTCTGGTATTTCCCAGCACCTACTAACATTGATCCAGTGCTCACTGGTCTAGCATCACTTTAAGCTTTTCCAATTCCTTTCTCCAACACATTGTTTTTTGGAGTATTAACGTATTAGATTTTAGTATTTGCATCAATTTGGCAAGGGGAATTACAGATGTGGATAGATATTTATGTGATATTTAATAGAACATTACTTATTATAGCAAAGATGTTAGAAACAAACTTGTAAAATAGTTAGGTAATAGTTAAGTAAATTATGAGCTATTTATTGCCTAGTATTAGCTACTAGTTATTTGGAAGAAATTTCAATGGCATAGGAAAATATTGTTGGTATGACTAAAAAGTTTTAATGTTTTTCATTAAAACTTAAAATCTGTCTTCCATATACATGGTTGACAAAAAAAAATTGTAATCTCTCTGCAATATAAAAAATATAATACTATGATTACTAGGAAGATAAAAATGTAACACCCCAGTCTGTATCCTTCCAAAATTTACCAGGTAAACTAGAAGGCACGTTAACTGTTCCTGTCTGAATTGTAGAATTCCAGGTCATTGTTTTAGATTTTATTTTGTATGTGTCAAGTTTTTGTAAGGAGTGTGTGTTAAGTCTAGAGGACTCCAGGGAGATTGAGGTGCTTTCCCCTCTGAGAGACATGGGTGGGGGTGAAGCCTAGCTGTCACCCCAGCTATGGGCAGGGCACTTGTTCACTGGATACTGGAGAATTAAGAGACACACACTGAACCTTCAGCTGCAAGTGAAGGACAGTGACCAGGCAAACTGCCTAGTGCAGTGGGGAAGCTCAGTATATAGAAACAAGTCACCTAGCAGGACGCTTCATGGTGCCCATGAGCCCATTCATCAGGCCAGCACCTGAGGGTGAGTCCTGCTTCTCTCTTCCCAGCTGTAGGCATTGGGCAAGTTACTCCAGAGCCTTAGTTTCCTGTAAAGCAAGCATGGTAATGACAAATGTTCCATAGGTGCTGTGAGGATTAAATGCTGTAACACATGGGCTGTGTTTTAGCCCAGTACCTGGTGCACATTGGCTTCTCAATAAATCCAGGCAAGGACCTTAGAAACACTAAACTCATTTGTGGGCTAGATTTTTGGTGACTTCAGGGAACCTGTCTGAGCTGTGAGGTTGAGAGCTAGAAGCATAGCCAGGCCCTCCGCGGAATGACCCAGGCACCCTTCTCTGATGTCCTCTCTGTGCTCATTTGTGATTTTTAGAGTATCCTCCTCAAGTGGACAAAAGGCTTCAAGGCATCTGGCTGCGAGGGCGAGGATGTGGTCACCCTGCTGAAGGAAGCCATCCACCGGCGAGAGGTGAGAGAGGCCTGGCACGAGGCCTGATGTGTCAACTCCCTGGTGCCTCACAGGGCCTGGGCATTCAGAAAGTAGCGTCAACATTAAGTGCAGTTGCATTGGGTGGGGGAAAGATGAGTCATCCACCAATTATTGAGTGCCTCCTTGTGTCAAGCCTGCGTTTGAAAAGCACTGGGGGTTCAGGAGTGACCCCATAAAGTCTTGTTCTATAAACAAATTAGCCAGTGACTGAAGGGCTATGAAGAGAAGTGGAGTTGGGCGAGGAGGGCAGGTAGAGTGTGAGGAAAGGGACGCTCTTACACAGACGGCACAGCTGGGGAAGGGCTCTCTGAGGAGGTGGCATTGAATGAAGACCTTAACGAAATGAGAGAATGAGCCATGGCCCATGACATATAGTTTCCATACATAACAAATCTCCCTGGCCAATGACTGCAAGGAAGACACTGGGGCTCACTTGTGGACTGGGATCTGCTTCTGTCCTCTCAGGAGTTTGACCTGGATGTGGTTGCTGTGGTGAATGACACGGTCGGGACTATGATGACCTGTGGCTACGAAGACCCTCACTGTGAAGTGGGCCTCATCGTTGGTAAGGACCTGACCGGCCTTCCCGCGGGGGAGGCACCGCCTTGCTCGGTGTGGGGAGGATGGTGCTGAGCCAGGCCCGGGTCCTGTGTTGGCAGGCACGGGCAGCAACGCCTGCTACATGGAGGAGATGCGCAACGTGGAGCTGGTGGAAGGAGAGGAGGGGCGGATGTGCGTCAACATGGAGTGGGGGGCCTTTGGGGACAATGGCTGCCTCGACGAATTCCGCACGGAGTTTGACGTGGCCGTGGATGAACTTTCCCTCAACTCTGGCAAGCAGAGGTAGGCAGGGAACCACGTGCGGACCCGCCACGTGCATCCCAGAACTGGACGGAGGGCAGGGTTCTGAGTTAGTCCATGTAAGAAGCAGCTCCCACGCCAAGGACTGGGGGAACAGGCTGGAGAGTCCTAGAACCTAGGTTTGGGACTGTGAGGAGAAACAAATAGAAAGTTGACCCCCTGCTGCTACCAGGTGGAGCAGCGTTGCTGGGGTGAGGCAGTCAGGAGCAAAGCCTCTCTTCCTCCTTAATCCGGCGCCTGGCGCCCTCTATTGTCAGACCTGAGCAAGGGGCCGGCCCCAGCTTCACAGAGCCCTGTGGTGGATGGTGGTGGCGGGGGTCTGAGCTGCGAGACAGCAGCTTAAGATCTAACACGATTCCCATTGGGAAGATGTTGCTTGTAATGTTTCCTAACTAGATTAATCAAGGCCTTAGTTCTGCTGAATACACTTTGCAAAATGTTTGTCTAGAATAGAGGTCACAGACTAAAGTGTCTCTAGGGGTCAGACAGGCAACATTAATAAAGGAAGCAGGCTGGGACAAGACAAGTTGGGGTGGCCATGGGGTCTTGAATGAAACTACGGACGTTGGTTTTTTTTTGTCAAGACACCATACAGGCCTAAAGACCGTACGCTACTGCACAGTCATACTTAGTTCCAGTGGCCAGGTCAGGGTCTACGGTTGGCGCTAGTTACTTGAGTAATAATGATTGTGTCCAGGAGAGTGCGTGCCGCGTGCCTACTGAACTTATGGATTAAGACTCAGTGTCCTCACCTGCTCCTAGGGGTGTGGTTGAGTTTGGGTGTGTGTTCCTTCTTGAGGGGTTGTAAGGCTTGGAAAGGAAATGAGATCGGAATGGAAGGCCAGTCCCATGGAGCCCTGTGGGCCTGGGGCAGTGTGGTCAAGTTTGCTGAGGGTCGTGACTCAGCATGCAGTGACACCAGGAATCCTGCCCGAGTGATCAAGCATTTCCTTTGCCTACGAGGGGGCCTCTTCCGTGCCCTCCACTTTATAATGTACTAGTTGGGGCCAAGCTGGCCTGGCCTGTCTCAGCATATCTCACCACCTCCCTGCTAACCTCCATGAACGCTACCCTCATTTCAGGTTCGAGAAGATGATCAGTGGAATGTATCTGGGCGAGATTGTCCGGAACATCCTCATCGACTTCACCAAGCGTGGGCTGCTCTTTCGAGGCCGCATCTCAGAGCGGCTCAAGACAAGGGGAATCTTTGAAACCAAGTTCCTGTCTCAGATTGAGAGGTGAGGGTTTAGGGCTGTAGGAAAGGTGGGGCTATGTCCTTTTTTCTCATGGACAGTCAAACTGAAGGATTTCCATAGCTCAAGTAAGATCAGAGTGTGGCTTATACAAAGATCAGTTTCGTGGCTAACACATTCATGTCTATAATGTTTATGTAAAGCACCTTATGGAAAATTGTCATTTTAAGGGCAGATATCGTAATAGCCTCATGAAAGATCATGCTAAGCATGACATGGAGCCATGCAAAGTGATGTTGTTGGGTTTTAGACCAAATGTCCAAGGTAGAAAGATACCTGCTCATAGGATGTAAATTAAAATGCACAGAATAATTAAACCAGCCACACTTGGCTTGAAGGTCCTTCCTAGTTGCTGGCTGCAGTAATCAGGCAGCCAGGACTGAGTAAAGGTTGGAACATCAGGCAGTATAGAAACATAGCATGTGACAACTCATTAGAGCAGAGCCTCCCTCCTCCAGTCTAATGGGAGAAAAGTCTGCTCCAGACTAGAACTGTGAATTTCAAAGCCCTTTGAAAATTAATGCTGTGTCATTACTCTCAGGGTATAGTGGAACAGGAGCTAGACAACTGGCGTGGGTGGGCCCCTCGGGCGTCTGCACCCGTGTATAGGGAGAATACAGTCTAGTTTGCATATCTGTGTGCAAGGAGATCATTCCAGACTTCTAAAATAGTTCCCTTTATATAATAGAGTTTATTTTCTTCCTACAATTTTATTTACATTTGCTTCATAAATAGCACACAAATAGAATTCAGAATACCCAGGGTGGCAGAATAGAAATAAGAATCGATGCTGCTTGGTTAGTGCTTGTCCTGGGGACCTGTGAACAATAGTGACACAATGGACACGAAATATCTTTGTAACTGGAATCTAACACTGTCACTGTGGTAATTATTTCCAAATGAGTGGAATACACAGTGAATTTCCTTCTGAGTATCCATTTTGCAGTTGCAATGCCCTACCTTACATGGGGAGATATTTCTTTGCATTCTTGTCAACCTCAGGAAGAGTCAGTGTAGTCCAGTGGGTTGAGTGCTGGTCTGAGTTTAGGCATGGGGGCCACCTCACAGGGTGGGCTCCTGGAAGCCAGAGACCATGGAGCCTGTCCTCATGACGGCGCCAGGCCCTGGAGTGGTGGGCCACCAGCCCTCTTGCTGCCTGATCATTCACTGTCTCCCTCTTGCCCCAGCGACTGCCTGGCCCTGCTGCAGGTCCGAGCCATCCTGCAGCACCTGGGGCTTGAGAGCACCTGCGACGACAGCATCATCGTCAAGGAGGTGTGCACCGTGGTGGCACGGCGAGCAGCCCAGCTCTGTGGCGCAGGCATGGCTGCCGTGGTGGACAAGATACGAGAAAATCGTGGGCTGGACATGTTCAAAGTGACAGTGGGTGTAGATGGAACCCTCTACAAGCTCCATCCTCAGTGAGTACCTGACCCCAACCTTTCCTGCCTACCTCCTCTCTCCCCTCTCTCCGATCTGTCCGTTTTCTTTCTCTCTCTCCTTTCTTACTTTGTAGCAAATTATTAGCCATTCCAAACAGTGTACACAATGCATATATTATCGATTAAAGATGCATAGCCCAAAGTAGGACTGAGTTTTACTCTCATCATTAGAAGCTCTTATGAGCCCCTCCCCAGGTGTACCGCAATCTCCCCTGCCAGGGGTAAGCGCTGCGTTGAATCAGTCCCTTGCTTTTCTTTTACCAAGTATATCTAGGTGTGTATCCATATTGCTTACTCTTATTTTTTAACTTACCATTCATAGAATCATATGGTCTCTCTCCTGTGACTGGCTTTTCTCACATAGTGTGTGTTTACATGTAGTTCATTAATTTTCAGGGCTGTATAGCATACCTTTGAGTATACCATAGTTTATTCTATCATTGATGTGATATTTGGGTTATTTCTAGATTTTGACTATTACAAACAGCGCTGCTGTGAACATTCCATCAAATGTATGCCAAAACTCAGGAGCAAGAAATTTTTCTACAGTCTAGAGCAGGAGTTGGCAAACAGCAGCCACAGACTGTTTTTGTAAATAAGGTTCTACTGAAATGCCACCATGCCCATTAGTTCATGTGTTCTCTACTATGGCTGCTACCTACAACAGCAGAGTTGTCCCAAGGTACCACAAAGCTGAAAGCATTTACTGCCAGCTTTTTATAAAAAAGGTTTACTTCTCCCCCTCTCCCCCACCCCTAGTATGGGAGGACTACATTTCTTTTCTTTTTACTCTTCCCTCTCTTTCTTCATCTCTTCTTTTTTCTCCCCTTAGCACTGTTTCTCTGCTCTCTTCTTCCCTTATTTGCATATATTTTGAATAATTCATTTTGAACTCAGGAAATGCCCCACATCCTCTCCCCTGAAGCCTTTCAACTAAAGGTTAAAAGAGTAGATCTGTGCCCTGGCCCAGGCAGTGAGCACAGGACAGAGAGTCCATGATTGAACTTTACCTGCTCTTGCTAGGTTTATTGCAAGGAGGTAAGAGTCTCTCCCAGAGTGTACACAGTTAGTGAAAAGGGAACTTCAGAAGTTCCGAGTTCTTTTCTGGAGTTCTGAGTTCCCTTCTGGATGGTCAGTGTCGCTGTGCAGATAGGAGCCTTGACCCTAGATGAGGGTTAAGATGGGGCCCTGGGACTTGGCATCCCCAGCTTTGCAGATTGGGAGGGCATCCCGACCCTGCTGTGCTGGGCGGATGGTGACTGTCTCTTTCTCTAGTCCCATATGGAAAGGATGTGCAGTCACAGTAAGGTCCTAACAGTAACTCTGTTAAGTCTGCTCCTTTTGCCTTTAGTGACGCTTTGGAGTAGATCCGGGTCTAAGGCAAATACCCCTGGAAAATACAAAGTCACATTCATGGGTCTCAATCCTCCCCTCCGGAATTTGTGGACAGGTTGTGTACCTCTGCAAGGCTCACTTGTGGCTTCCATAACTGTTGAACTTCTCTTTTGCTGATTAGCTTTAAGAGCACAATTTGCAAGAATCGCGGCTTGCCAAAGTTGAATCCTAGCTCCCCCAATTGCCTAATGTGTGTAATGGGTAATATTACTAGCATCTCCAAGCCTCGATTTCCTGGTATATAATACATAGTAAATGTTTGCTACATTGTGACTGTCATCCTTCTCCTCATCTTAATTATTCCTGGATTTCCAGGAACACTTCTTAGGGTCTTATTTTGAATGCACAAATTAATTATGACTAAGACAGTTTTTCCTGTTTTTTCCTCCTGCCTTTTCCAGCTTTGCTAAAGTCATGCACGAGACAGTGAAGGAGCTGGCTCCAAAATGTGACGTGTCCTTCGTGGAGTCAGAGGATGGCAGTGGGAAGGGGGCAGCTCTCATCACCGCCGTGGCCTGCCGCATCCGTGAGGCTGGACAGCGATAGAACCTCGGAAATCAGAAGGGACTTCCTCTGGCTCCCCCTCCTCCCTGTTTTAAATTACAAGGTGTCATCCTCTTGTGTCAGAAACAGATCCCTTGGCTTTTCCTTGGCAGAGAGGACCTCATTGGACTTGGTTTTTTCTCTGCCTGCACTCACCATAGAATTTGGTGCCCGAACCTTGGCTTTCCAAGATAAACACAATTTGAAGTAAGGATTTGGTCATGATGATCACAACCATTCCCATTGGCTCTCTTAAAACTTAAGAATGTTAACCCTAAATAATTTTTTTTTTTTTGAGGCAGAGTCTCACTCTGTTGCCCTGGCTAGAGTGCTGTGGCTTCAGCCTAGCTCACAGCAACCTCAAACTCTGGGCTCAAGTGATCCTTCTGCCTCAGCCTCCCAAGTAGCTGGGACTACAGGCGTGAGCCACCATGCCCAGCTAGTTTTTTCTATTTTCAGTAGAGATGGGGTCCCGCTCTTGCTCAGGCTGGTGCCACCTCAGCCTCCCAGAGTGCTAGGATTACAGGGGTGAGCCACTGTGCCTGGCCCAACTCTTATTAATTAATTCCCCTGGCCAAATTCCATGTCTCTGTATAATTCTACATGATGGGGACATTAATGAAGATACGGTTGCTTCGCTTTGGAGCCTGAACATGACATTTCTAGGTGTCTAGCATCCTCCAGCATGGATGTTGACACTGATTCTCCCATGAGAGATCTGGGAGGTCTCTACTACAACATGAGCCTCATTCTCCTACAGACAGGTTGTGGGATGTGCATGGAGGGGAATCCATGGATATCCATGTGGCAGCCCCTCTTCAACCTCATCTACAAGCCTTTGCCCTGTGGATTCCAGCATCACTGTTCCTGCAATCAAGGAATCCTGCATCTGGGCAATGAAACCAAAGCCAAGAGTCGACACATCCTGCAAGTGGGCTTGTGGCCACATCTAACTGTGGACGCACAAATCATCCATGAGCAATGGACCTTTGGGGGAGGGGGAGCTTTTCGGTATGTTTTTAAATTTTTCCCTGCAAAAGCAGAAACACTGTATTTTCATTTTAATTTATATTTGAAATTTATTTAGTTTATGAAGTAGGTCTGCTCCTTCATCTTGACACGTAATGGTCAGTTGTACGTAATGTATTTATATGTTAATTTGTTATGTATATAGATACGCAGGTCTTGTCTGAATTGGCCTCATTGGTACATCAGTGTAGTTAAAGGGCGGAAGGTGAAGATACTGACTAGTTACTAGAAATACCTCATTCGCCTGGGGGGAGAGAAGAGAAGCCTCTTCATGGTGAGTGAACAGCAAAGTGGTTGTTTTCTGTCTCCTCCTTCCCTGCAGTCTTGGAAATGTGAGGAAGGCAGGGACAGACAGAGGCTGGGCCTATGGGCTGAAGAAACCACGGTGACTGACTGCTCTGTCTAGAGACTTTCCTGGGGCAATATTACTTGGGATGTTAACCAAAGGAAACCAAAAGAATCATTTCAAATAGACTCATTGCTTAGAAATTTTTATTCTTAGGGCAGTCAGTAGTATTTTTAAACTTTCTTACAAGATAAAGGAAACCACCAAAAAAATTTTTTTTGAAGTTTTTTTCTAAACATTGACAATAAACCAAAACATAATAAGTAGACAACCAAACAAACAAAACCTCAGGGACAACATGTTTGGTGTATTTTATACCCTCCTAGCAAGTTTCACCTTGGGTTTGTTTTGTAAGTGTTTTATAAGAATTGTTGTCCATATGCTTCCCTAGGCTGAGCTGGCATTGGTCTGCTGGCCTGTTTTTATGGTTTTTATATACAGTATTTATTTTAAACTATTGGGAGGGATGGAGTGGTGGGAAAACTTTCCTACCCTACTTTTCAAGAGTGCAGTTAATTCCAAATCTGAAAGCCCAGTTCTGCCCTGGAATACGTACAACCACAGGCGTTAAACCTGGATACTATGTGATAAAGACAGAATGGCCTTGGGACACTATTAAATTGAATACAAGGATCAAAACGGAAAGATGGAAAGAAACTCATGACTGAATCGCACCTAGTTTTTGCACATTTATCAAACTTGTGCTGAGAACAGAGTCTGATTATGTGATTTTCGAGCAAGATTAGGTATAAATAGGTGAAAACCGCCCAGATCCCCTTGAGAAGCACCGAGGGCAGAGGGGCCGGTCCTTCTTGTTTGTTCCGGTCTCACTGCAGTCTGGTGTAGCTCCTCTGCCTCTCCCACGCTTACTAATTGATGCGAAATGTGGGTGACTCCTAGGGGGCTTTCCTATAGATTTGTGGATCACTAAAGGACTCCCACAAAATAGAGATGGATTTTAACTTTACATTTTAAACTTGAAGATTAGGTACTATCTATGAAATTGCACATTTGGTTTTTAAAGGTAGAGATGTATGTGTAGCTACTAAAGATGTGTTGTTGGTTTCCAAAAAGGAGCACTGGAAAATGCATTTTGAATGTTTGTATTCCCAGAATTAGGCGGGCAGTCCCTCGATGCTGCTGCTTTGCTTGGTGTAAATACAGTGGATCTCAATCTTTGGGGTGTGCTGAATAGCAGGTCATCTCAAATCCTCGAGCACTCAGTCTAGTGAAGATGTTGTCATTATGTATAATAAATACCTAGTTTAATTAACTATGTGATGTTGACTATTATTAATAAATTTTAACATTTTCCAAAATACTCAATGTGTGATTCATGAGCATTTTCAAGAGTGCAGTCATCTTTTGGTCATGTCAGTACTTCCTGGCCAGGCTGATGAATAACTTAATGAGTGTTTTGACTTTGTATGTGTTTGACAGGCATGTGGCCAAGACTTGGCCTAATCCCTGATATTTCTCCTCCCAGAAACTTAATCCCAATAGAACTAAAAGGTGGCTTTTCCTGGGCTGCCTTTGAGCCCCAGGATTGCAAGCATCATGGCTAGTTCTGCAGTCTACTGTTTAAACAGCTTTGCTGAGATGTAGCATAACCCTCCAGGGCTCTGGCTGGTCTTGGTAGGCAGATGTGATTCACATTCAAGACATATAGCCCTTGTGTGACTGTCCAAAAAGCATTTGCCTCTGTCTTCTCTCTACCAAACTCTACCCTCTCTTTAATAAGCAAAACGCAGATCTGAGGAGTAAATTCCTCGTGACTCCCTAGTGATATCCATTGACATTGTCGTGGCCCTGCTTGACAATAACAGAGAAGAAAATGACCAAGGCTAAAAGGATAATAGAAATAGCCAGCAGGTTAAGGAAAAATTAAAATTGGACCCTATTTTCTGATATCGTATTGGTGAGATTATGGGAGCATTTTCATACATTGTTAGTGGAAGTGTAATTGATACAACCCAGTGAGGAGGAGAAATAGGCAATATGCCACAAAAGCAGATTTTTGTATAATTTTCTAGAAATTTGTGCTAAGTATATACACCTGTTAGGGACTAAGATTTACCTTTAAGGGTATTAACTATTGTATGGCTTATAATACCTAAAAAGAGAAATTGTGTCTATGTAATAGATCTGCCTATACTGGATCAGGTCCATTCTAGTTATTGCAAACATTTTAATAACAGTGACTTGATTATGCAGATGGCGGGCATGCTGAGAAGGCAAACAGGACAGAAGCAACCCGGAGATTAGAAACATCAAGAAAAACAGCTTCGATCCCACTGGCTGGGTCAGAGTTCCAAAGCTGGGGCAAGAGCTGGGGTTGTGAGGACGGGAACTGGGAGCGCAGAGCAGGGTGGTGGTGAAGAAATACTCTGCCTGCTGTTGCTCCTTCCCACCCTCTAGTTGTCTATAGGGTTTCCCATTGGCCAAACCTAGCAGGAAGCGAGTTGGCACAGGGAGCCTGGGAAGGGAGTGTCCTGTGATATATACATGGCAGGGCAGCAGGGATCTGAGCAACTGGCAGGCACCCTACGCAATCATGACTGTGGCATAGAAGAATATTTAATAATAAAGAAAATGTTGATGGTATGTTGCTTCATGCCCAAAGTGTGTTATAGAACAGTGTATTATGATCCTATCTTTGTTAAAAAAATGATGTATGACATAGGAATTGCAATGGGTTTCTCTGAGTGCCTCCTCTGCCTCACTGACCTGGGCAAAGGCCTCAGTCCCTTTCTCAGGAGCTCCCCGCAGATGACCCACCCCACTGGGGTGTGGCTCCCCCAGCCGGCTCAGCTGTGCGCCAGCCTCAGCCAGGCTGCTGCTCAGCACAGTTTCGGTGCCACCCACCCTCCCTAGGTCACTGGTGCCCCCACCTCACAACCTCAGGGAAGAGCTGCCCTCCTATTTCCCACTGGGGGCTCTCAAGAGGACGTAGACCCTTAATTCTCCACAGACCATAACACCAGACAAGATGTTCAGAAGAGAATTTTTGCAGGATATAATTTAAAATGGGTTCCCGCACTGTGAGGCCCTCAAAGTCCTGGACTGCCCGTGCTCCTGGGCTTCCCTTGGGCTGCTCCCTGCTGCCCAACTCCCACCTCCTCTTTGGGGTTCCTCACTCTGGGGAGGAACTGGTCCCTTTTATTGTGGATTAGAAAACAATGCTCCCCAAATATGGTGCTTTGACATGCTGAACTAAAGCAGCCACCTCAAGTGTCTCTGACCTTGCCCCCTACCCTTCAATCTCTCAACCCTCTGTCTCTCCCACAGCACAGGACCAGGTTTTTCTCTGATACTCCTTTACCTGCAAGAGGACTGGGCCCACCAAGGAGAACACAGTAGCCTTCCATCCTCTCCCTGAGCTCTCATTATTGCAGAAGAGAAGACTGAGGAATGCAACCACCCTTGGACAGACTTTTTCACAAGATAATGGTTGCCTCTGAGGCTTATTCAAATTCCGAAGGGAATCATTGACAAGTTAATTTCTGTCTCCCAGATACATTCATTCTTCCTAATAATCCTTACTTCCACTCAAAAAAATCATCACATTTTCCCCATCCTTCCTTCCCCTATGAAGAAGGGTATATATGTATATATATATATATGTATCTGGACATCATTGGCTTATTGAATAATCATTCTGCTAGTGCCAGCCCCATGCCATGCACATTAAAATAAAGTTGTATGCCTTTTTCTCCTATTCATCAGCCTTTTGTCAGTTCATTTTCAGCAAACATTCAGAGAACGAAGGGGGAAGCTTTCCCTCTTTGCCCCTATAGATTTGATGCTGTGAGCCCGATAAACCACATC